ACAGATACATTTGTTTTGTTCAGGTAGCTGCCACAGATGTTACAGCAGGAAGAATTCTTAAGCCACTTTTAACCATTTCATACTCAACACTAAAATGTATTGCCTCCTACGAACTGAGCATGGTTTTTACAGTAATTTTTTACTTTGGGTAAATTGGATTGGATTTTACTGGTCCATCTGTAAAACCATCTCTAAGTTTCATTTACTTCAATAATGAAGGCTCACACTAAAAAAACAAACAAAAACTTCACCCAGCATATTTTGGATTAAAGCACGTTTCAGTTCCTTAACACTAATGCAGCACAATGGAATTATTGCACATTAATAAAATTTCCTACGGAAGTATAATAAAACTGAACAAGTTCTGAGGACGTTTTGCATAATGCAAACAACCAATCAAAAGTGACTTACAGTGTACTTTCAAAGAACTGCATTATTCTTAAGAAATAAGGAAAATGAATCATGGCATTGTGACTGCAAAACTAAGTTCTTCCAATACATTGCTATTGCCAGGTGTTTTTTAGAGCAAGTGAAAAACACAGTAATCTTTGCTACCTTTCAAACAAAATCAACATATTTTAATAGTCAATACTCTCTTCTTAACCCCAGACTCAAGAAATCTTCTTGTGGCCCTCCAGTCCCCTCAGGCATACAGAATCAATCAGAAGCATTACATTTCCAGCAGAAGAGATCCAGTCTCCTCTTCTTCACAGAGACCAAAGCCCAGCAGACAATCCCACAGAAACATCTCAATATGTTAAGTCCATGAAGTAAATAAACTATGAAAAGGAAAGGAACTGGAGAGTCTTCCCAAAAATGTGTATTTGACATCAATGACAAGACCGCTAGAGCAGACCCCTCAGTGCCTTGTGCTGGGTACAGCCAGCTTTTTCTAAGATACACTTGCCTGATGAGCAGAATAATGATCTGAGTTGGAAGGATGCGTATTAATTTTTTAAAATTTATTTTTATTTTAGATTCAGCAGACTGCTGGATGCTTCACGAGTTTACAAAACAGCTGCAAATGTTGTGGGCAGAGAGGGTGAACAGGTGACGTCTCTGTTCATCTTGATTTTAACTGATACATTTCAACCACCTCGGTAAAAATGGTTACAGGCATGAGCACCAGTTTTGTGCACATCCCTGTCTGAAGTTTTATCAAATTTTTCCATTGAGTTGTGTGGAAAGCTGGTGAAAAAATGTAAAATATCTTGCACTACTATTAACACTATGACATGGAAATTCTTATTTTTAAAAATAGGCACAGGTATTTCACTCACCTTCAAGGAGACACATCCTATGCAGAAGTCTCTTTTTCAGAATTTAGTGCAATTAGCATCTGAAACACAACAAAAAATTCAAGTGGAAGTGTCATCTTTTAGGCTAGGCAGCTCTGCTTCCCATTCTTGCTCTGGTTCCTTAACTTCAGAGTAATTTCCACTGCCTTTTGACTGGATGAATTAACAAATTAGCAAACTGCACCCCTCCTGCACAAGTTCAGAGAAAGCGTGTTAACAGAAACCCAATTGTGATAAGAGGTTTAATTCAGCATATCCAGCATTGTATTTGCCTTCAGGAGGTGGCTGTTTTACAAAACTTGGTGTTTGAATTACTTACCCAGTGGCACCTGGTTAAGTCAGAGATTCTTCAAATCCATTGTATTCTTCTTCATGGTAATACCAATCTCTCTTCACACAGGAACTTGCTGACAAACTACTTTTTTGTCCACTGCACTCGCTGAAATGAAATTGTGAATGATTTGCGACCAAAATACTTAAATTAGCTGAAAAAACAGTAAAAATAATTACAGTATTTATAATAAATTTAAATAAACTGCTGCCACCACTTTATTTAAATCCAGTTTTCAAAAGTTTTTAGTAATTAGAAATATGTTCACTGCTTTCATGTAGAATCTGTAAATAAAAATACTTTTTAATTCCCTATGAAGCATAAAGCTAATCCACATCCTGATAAACTTTTATTATTCTAGCCGGGCAGTGGAATTTTTAAGTAAGAATAAGGGAAATCCAGTTCTTGTCCATGCGCACAAAACAGGCAAATTTTTTCCTGTTATCACTTTCATCCATCTTCCTCAGTCTTGTACAATAATCCAGTTTTCATATAAGCAAACTAATGACACTAATTAATTTCCTTCTAAACTAAGCAAATCTGTGCCTTGACCTAAAATACTTCTTTCAAAGACTACATAATATTTTATTGCATTGACCTTGGTATTCCTTACTTTTCAAAGAAACTGAGATTTATAATTCCACACATTCTCAGAAGAGCATAAGGATTAATCACACTGCCTGAAAACCTCCAAATGTACATCCCAATCTTTGCCTATCTATAAATACATGCGTAGAACTGTAAGAACAAGAAAAAACAACAAATGACAGCAACACTGTAAAAATAGTCAAGGGCTCCCAACTGCTTTCTGCATGACTGTAGTCATGAGGACAGACATCTGTGCAAATTCTTGCATTTTACGGAAAGCAGGAAAAAGCTTCTGAATGGTTTAGATATTCAGTACATTTACATTACCAGCCTTTGCCTTTATTTATTCTAGCTGCTCCTGATAGCCTGCATTTCTTTAATGCAGGAAAGAAGCATGCAGTGAAGTAGTTTCCAGTTCCTCTGGTATTGTGAAAGGTAAGTATTAATCCACAGACACTTACCTATCTTTTACAAAGCAAAAGGAAGTTTTCAAGGGAAGATTTACACTGTATCAGCCTCTTTTCTGGCTTTTCCTCAGGAATATGTAACAATTGAACTTTTTGTTGTTGCTGTTTTAGTTTTGGACCACAAAAATAACCCAAAATTTTCCATATTCCCCACTGTCACTGCTCTTTAGTGAATTCAACTATCTTGACTTAGTTCTGAATTCATGCTAAGTAGTTTTAAAACTCAGGGACTAAAATGCATGTATACTCCTCCTCTTTAAGTTCAGTGGGGAATTTTCAGGGAAGAAAGAATATAAACTTCTTTTAGGCTCTTCTGCATGACAGTTGTCTTCAGAAAGGTCTTCATACTGTAATCCCTTTAGACAAAACACATTATGAATTCTCTTTAATTCTAGTATGACAAGTTTTAATGAAATGCATTTTCAATTTGTCATCTAATAACCACTTGTCACATGCAAAAAACTCCCCACAACAGTATTTTACTGCATCAGCCAATAATGACAACACATTTTCTTCAGCTTCTTTATTTAAAATCAGTATATATCAGTGAATTTCAGTCATAAGAAACTGCTCTTTGACAAAATCCCACTATCAGAATGGTAAACTCTTAACTGCCTTTATTTAAGAAAATAACACAACTATGCCCCACAAATTATGACCAAGCTTGAGAAGAATCTCTCTCTCTTTCTTTACCATGAAATGAAAACAATGTCATAAAAGTACATAACAAAGCCATAGAAAAATCAGGGAAATTACAGAAAATCAGAAGCTCCCTATTTGTTTTGCCCTATTCAAATATTTTAAATGAAAATAAAACATTAATGGCTTTATTCAAATAAATACGTATTTTAATAGGTAAAATGCATCTGAAACATGAATTCTTCCTGATTCTAAATTTCACACTACATCAAAAGTCAAAATGAAGGGCTATACTGGCCAAAGGTTGGTTACAAGAGTTTTTATTTTGCAAACTATACAGAAACAGTAAAAAAGAAAATGCATTATACTTTTCAATATTACATAAGATAAACATTAGATTTAGTATTTACTGTGTAGAAATTAATTCAAATAAGAATGTGATTTTCCTTTTATTAATGATGAGAAATCAGTGACTCATTTTTAAATTATACAACCTGCAGTAATACATTATACAGGTCATGTCAATTTTATTGTGGGCAGAAAGAAACAGATAGGATATGAATGAAGATGGTGGAGTCTCAAAATGTCTACACAATTAATTAACATGCTAACATAAATACAGTGATTAAAATAATTTTCTCTACAGTCAAATCTTAAGTGCTACTCTACACAATAAGTATAATCTAGACCACATGGTAATTACATAATAATAGGAAAAAAAATTAAAATAATCCATTTTCTTCATTCCAGCAGCAGTACCTATACTGGTATTAATTTGGTAATTGGGTGTGCTTAGCTATTGCCTAACATCCTATACTGGTATGCATGCTAAAACCTCTCTAGATCTATTTTGCAAGGCACCTTTACAATACGTTCTATTAGTTTCTGCACTAGTAACAGAAAACAACATGAATTAAGATAAGGAGCAAAACTATTTCCCCAAATAAGAAAATAAAAAGCATCATTATACATTTATTAAAAACTACCTTAGGGCAAGTGACAATACTCTGAAATACAGTAATGTATAAAGGTAATAAACTTTAAGCAAATCTTTTTCCCAATGTAAGTACTTTACACTAGTCTGATTAGAGAGAAATACAGAGAAACCACAAAGGGTGAAGCAATGATTAAGTAAATAATGATAAAGCTTATATGACCTTGACATAAAACCAAAAAAAGGGAGGACAAGAAAATTTTATAGTTACAGAACTGGTGCTTGTCCATGCTACTGCTCTTGAAAAATCCTTTCAATAATCTAGCCATAGATTATTGAAAATAACTTTCCTAATAAAAAACATAACTACAAATGCAAAGGAGGACTTTGCTACAGTTTTCCCTCCTGATTTTTCTCCATACCTTTGGTTAATTAAAGGCTGGTTGAGATGCTACTTGTGCACCAATGTTTTTCTACTGCAATACATTTCTGATTCATTAAATGGACAGTTACAGGGCCTAAAATACTGACGGAACTGAAGGTAAGTCACAGTATGCATTCTGAAGAGGACATGCACAGTTCCAAGTAAGGGCAAATATTTTTCAGCAGAATTTTGATGAGTCTGGTTGGGTTTCTAGTGTGTTCTGCACATATATATTTTCAGTAGCACACAACATTTTTTCTTCAGGCTAGAATTCCAATGTGTTTTCTTCAGCACAACAGAATTTAAAAACTCAAAAGCACATGATATAATTATTCTTATTTAAACAAAAAAAGTCTATGACTCCAGCTGCAATGCTTGAAATAATCATACAAAATATACATATTTGTTAGAACCCTTTTGATCTTGGAGAACAAAGGGATTTTATGAAATATCATCTTGTGAAATTTAGAAAGGTACAACATAAGGACCTCCTAGTATTGTCAAATATATCCATCATGATCATCGTCATCATCATCATCATCCCCTTCATCTTCATCATCATCTTCAATTTCATCTTCATCGTTCATTATTTCATCTTCATCATCTTCATCATCTGTCCATTCATGGAAATCACCAGAGGCAAAATCACCTGAAGTCTCTAAATCGATAGCTAAAAAGGTATGACAGTTATAGAAAAGCCTCACAAGGTACACTATATATTTATAGTACACTTTACATAATCATACAAAAGGCACAGCAGAATATCTACTTTCAGGACAACTACAGAGTGTTACATAAAAATAAAATAGAAATAATATGAAGATTCTTTTGTCATAAAAAATCCAACTCAGTATTGAATTCATTTCTCAATATTAACAAAAGGAGACAAATTTCATGGATTTGTAGAACTATAATCAGTGCTAGGAACAAGTAAAAAAAAATAAGTCCAACTTCCAGATGGCAATAAGGACTACTGATAAAATACCCTGACTATTGTTCACTTCTTACATATTGTCTTGAACTATACCAAACTGTCCATTTATCCAGAAATGATCCTGGATTAGACGGACAATAGGCCTGAGCTTGTACCTCAAATACTGTGTACAATTTACTCTCTGCTTCAGGCTACATTCTTTTGTTGGAGAAGAAGTGAAAAGGAGTCATAAATTACTTTTTTTTAAAAGAAAGAGGAAAAACACTTTTTTTTTCATCTTTTTTATCTGGGACATCAAATAAAGGTGACATGGGAATTCTTGGAAGAAGCTGCACAATGCTGTAGGAAGGCAAAATAAGGGAAGATTTAGTGTGCTAAAAACTTTTGGCAATTCCCTCAAATATAAATTGAAAAAATGTCAAATCGAATTCACTTGCATGCTGATTACCCAAAGGAATTTTGTGAAACATTCTGGGACTTATCTAATGCTGCTCTAGAAAACTAATTTTTCCTGGGTTTATATACACTATGCGAAGCACATGTAACGGGTCTATTAATAGTCCACAGTGAGTGGAGTTCCAAAAGTAATGCAATAACAATAACAAATTATAATTTTTTGGGTTTTGTATCAAAAGCCATGTAGTTGGGCCCCACACTTCTTACTGAAGAAATTTAACCTGGCTGGCAATCAAAGGGAATAATTCCTTTAAACCAAACAGCTCAGAAGGTTCTTAACTCACCACATTCTGCTGCGCCATTTGTCCTGGATCCTGACACCTCATTCCCGTATCTGTCCACACACCAGCACTGCCCGAGGCTTCCGTGGCACTGACTTGGCTTGTAATACCCATCTTCATCACAGAAGGGGATGTACTGCCCTGCAGGATAGATAGACAGACATATATATATACTGAATAAGTATATTAAAACCCGTGTCTTGGCCAATGTCACAAATACAGCAAAAAGCAACTGCCTTTTCTTGTTTCATCATTTCAGACTCTACAGTGACTGCTTTAGCAGCACTAAATTCAGCTGACTCAAACTGACTGAATGGATCAAATGTGGGAGGGAAAATATCAGTCTTGGACTGATTTCACAACATAAAGTGAGCGCTCTTCCTTTAAATTTTTTGTTGATCCTGTGATACATATTTCTTACTCCATGAAAATCTCAGTCCAGAACTTCACTGCATTCTGGTGAAAAGGCTTAAATGTAGGACCTGCTCCTGAATGGGAAGTTCTATCATCTGTGGAGTACAAACAAGTCTGAATAGTAAGGGCCAGACTTCCTGACTAACAAACTATCTACTACAAGGAGTTATTTGTGTTTAATATGTATTTTACAAACTACCACACACTAGTATTCAATTATTCCACCACAGAAGACAAATGCAGCAGAATACACCACAAAACACTGCAAAAAACTAATACTAAATTTGCATTTATATGTACAAGAGGGGCTTGTTTTGGGAGGCAGTGACTTGCCTACAGCTGAATAATCCGCTGTTTATAACTTGGACCAAGTGGAGACCACACTGAACAAAATATTCATATGAAAGCATTTGAAGTGTATAGTTCTTATTAGAAACCATCCTTACGAGAAATACAGTTTTGACTGCTTTGGGCCAAGCTTTTCATTTTACACAGTTTTCACAGAGTGGCTAGTGGTAAATGAAGACTTTACACTTCAGAAATATTGATGCAGTATAAAGTGATTCACAACAAAGATTTCAATTACTTACAGAATATTACAGTTAAATGATCAGCAGAAATACTACTTTAGGAGTACCTTATGCTGTTTCCTCTGTACTGTAAAAATGTACCTTCTATCAGGGTAATAAAACAGATGTAAGAGCTTTTGGTAGGTAACGTAATAAAACCAAGTTTAATAGCTTTCAAAAATTTCATAAATTTTGCTGCTGAGATTTACTGTGGTCTATCTTCATTGGATTAATATTGATTTTGTGTTGCTGTTTAACTAGGGTTATTTATGTAAGTAATAAAACCTTCAAAAAATGATCTACGGCTCACCTAGGAGCTTCTTTCCTCCTTGCTGCTTCTGAATGTTACTGAGTTCTGTCTGGCAAGGGGGGTCTAAAAGGACAAAAAAAATGTTAAACAGGTTACACAGTACCTAGGACAGAAAGCACATGACTACGTTTTCACAGTTGGTTATGTTGTAAGGTCACTCTAACTACTGATCTTAAGAAACACACACATCTGAAATAAAACAATTACCTTGCTACAGTTTCAGAACTACGAATCTGCACACCACCATGGATTTGTGCAGAACACCACACATGGTTAACTCATCTCCAAGTGAGCATCTAGTTACTAGTCTGGAGCATCAAGGAATGCTAGTCCAAAATAGTAACTCTATCACAGCCTACTTTATTGGTCTATAAAAATCTCTGCAACTGTGAAGCTTGGCTCATGTATTAGCTAAAAACAGGACAGATCTTTTAATTTCCTCCCTGTGTCCTTTTTAGAATTCATGTTCTAATTTTGTATTTCACACACTACACTAAGAAAATAAGACCACCTTCTTCACTGAAGTCTGCAAGATTCAGTGATTCTCTGGCAACAATTTAAGACTGGATCCCACAGGTACAAAGCCCCATGTACAGCAAACTAACTTAAAAATGGAGGCCAAATTTTAGAAGGAGTTAAGAAGCAGAATATGTATTAAAAATCAGTTTTCCATTCTTCAGCTACAGCCTATTCTACTTCTGAATAATTTAATTTTTTACTGTCCATAAAAGAAAGTCGCAGTATGCACCATGAATTGGAAGAAAATAAGATGTGAATGTGTTTGCATCACTGTTCAGTAAGTGAAAGACTCAGAGACAGCAAAGCACTAATTAATCTCTGAACACTGGCGCTGCATACCACATTAGACCATTATTAGCACCAGGGCATTTCTCATTCTGAACCAGCAACAGAATTACTGAGTTTACTCACAGGTGTCTTTAGCTTGCACCATTCCCAGACAAAATCTTACATTCCTTGAATATTAAATGCATTTTCCATTTTAGCAGACTGATCATTTATAATACATCTTTGCCATGTTCTTAACTCAAGGATCCCTTTTTCTCCGTGCAAATAGTAAAAGGTGTTCTGAGCTGGTTTAAAATGAGTAAGACTGGCCCAGCCCATTGATGCAGAGCACACGTAAGACCAAAAATCTGTCACTACGTAGGGCACTCTGGTGACAAAGACCAAGATGAAGTGCAGATCAAAAATACAGAGCCTCGTGGCTGGCACAAGGAATAACCTTGTGGAATAACCTAGTTATTCCAACAGGCCTTTGGTATTACCTAAGAGAGTAAGTAAAAACTAGTATACAACAATAATCCCTTACTGGCAGCAGGCTGTTCATTTCTCTTGGTTGTACACTTTAAATAGCATTTACATATGCAATACATTTAAAGAAGCTTATCAATGTTCCCAGGGGCCTCAGCTCTGGTAGGCCTGGCTTTTCATACTAAATCCATAATGATTCTTTTTAGAGTGAAGCCTTAAGGGTAGGCTCCACTTTCAAAACACTGTCAACAGAAGACTTAATGCCAGAAGAAATTTTCAGGAGTTGTCTTTCCAGACAATGAACCAATTTCTCTGTAAGCTCTTGAAAAATCACTGAGATTTGACATGACTGGGTGGGTATTGGATTTTAATAATTCAGTCTTTGACTACTTTTTGAGGCTACATGATTTACTTTTTTTGCTGTAAGAAGTACTTCGAGGATGATCATGCTCACTATTTCATTACCTTTGAAAACTAAGGTTTCTGTCTTTCCCAATATTTGATGATTTAAACTCTTAATTCTGAGGACCGATTATTTCTTAAACTAAAGGTATTTTCTACTACCATTAATCTAATAAATGACAGTCATTTATAAGGATCTAGGAACAGGGTGGATTTGGCAGGGTTAGGTTAATGGTTGGGTAATGTCACAGAACCTTTCTTTTCTATTTTATTCTCTCCTCTCCCACAAAAGAGATGAGAAATATGCAGATGAAGAAGAACTAGTCATATAGGAAGAATACCTCTTTTTTCATGAAAAATAATCCTAAATTAGAAGCATAGATATGCACACATGAGTACTAACATGTGGAAATGTAAAAATTATGGATGATGCCTAAAGAAAAAAAAAAAATCTTCTATTATAGCTATAAATCTTTGATGGCATAATTACAAGAAGGAATACCATTAACCAAGAGGTAACATGGCAACATGAGGTAATTACTTACCCAAAACACTCTTCTTCTCAGAAGTTAAGTCTTCAAGATTCACACTTAAGCTTTGCTTCTCAGGGCAAAAGCAGCAAAAACTCTTAACGATATTAAATCACTCTGGTGTTAAAACTATCAAAGAGAATGGCAGGCCAGAAGTTCAACCAATCCCTTTCGGCTCACAGCACATTCTTTTTCCTCCGTTCCCAAATCATAATGCCTCCCTCTTTATTTGCAGGTTAGTTCCTAAGTTTGTAAAGGGTTTTTTTTGGATTTCTGAAATTATTTTTATAAAAAAGCAGTCACTGGAAAACTCCTTGAGCCAAGGAGGAAAAAAAAATCCTTTACAAAAAATCAGGGTTGTAGTTTCTCTTGAAATAGCAATGAATCTGACATCAGTCTGTCTGAGAATCTGAATACAAATAAGGTACCTAATTATCTTCATCCTTAATCTACTTTCACAGATGTGGCAGGAATTGTCCTTCTGATAACACCAGTGCATGGCTAGGAGTGAATCATGAACCACACAACACCAGCCATTCACAGTTTGTCAGTTCTCAGAGTACTGCTGCACACCAGAGTATGCAACACAATAATGCCGGCCCTTGAGACTCCAATATCCAGTCATGTCAAGAAGTGCTTCAAGGCTAGCACAATTAAGCTCTGATTTACCAAAACAGCACATTAACAGATCAACTGCAGTCAAACTGGTAGGTTTGACAAAGAAAGTCTATGACTTTTAACAGACAGGAGCTATTACTCAAGGAGCTATTATTCACACAGTGAGCCTCCAACTTTCAAGGATTCTCCTTCTTACTCAAGAACAAAACACTGATTTTTCACCAGTCAAGTAGATAATATTTGGCAGAGCCCTTAAGTTCTGGAATATGGTCCACTGCAGATAAGGCTGCAGTGACATCTTGCCTGTACTTGGCATCAAGCATTATAATTGTTGGACATCCAAGGTTTGTACTTCAGGGATCTGAAACATCAATACTACAGTTCAAGAAGTGTGCCTGGGAATCTCATGATCATAATTTATCTTGATAAAAGCATGTTACATCTTCATTTGTAACTATCTATAAATATATTTGAAGTCCTTGCAATCTTAAGACTAGCAAATACAAATCACGATAATCATCATTCTTCTATAAGAGGGACTGTTTATGAAGTGATGAAGGTATCTTCCAGGTATGACAGAGAGAAGAGCCTCTAAGAAAATGCAGCTAGAGAAGTGCTGGACTAATAGCTCCATGCAGAGGCCTGTAGTAAAGAAATACTTTGCTGCTAAGCATTAATACTCTCAGCAAAATTGGCTACTCCCCTTCTCTGAATCAGTGATGCAATAAAACAAGGCTGCAGTAATCAATCAATGATTGGCAGAAAAAAATTCGCCTATAAAAAGGCCAACATTGCAAAGGCCTCAGCATTTCAGCAAGCACTGAAGTGTCACGTTAGCATTGAACAACTAAGGAAGTAAGTTCTGAAGATGGGTGCTGAAACACTTGCATGGACTGGTGAAACTGGAGGACCATAGTGACCAAAGCATTCAGAAAGACTTGCAAAGAGCACTGGCACACTGCAGATTTTGATGCATTGCAGAAATGCATTTTAATGCCTTGGATAAACCTCAGAAATACTAAACTACATTTAAGGGCAACAAAAAATGCAATAAGCATCACTGGACTGTACCTAAGTGTTTAATCATTAGTCAAGGGGAGACAACTAGTACAGGAAGATCATCTTCTCCACAAGAAAGATCTGACCTCAGGATTCATAAAAATGTTGCCTATATTGACTAGAAGTTGTCAGCAACGTTCAGTAATAGGCCTAGTGTAGTGTAATCAAGCAGAAAGAAAGAATGAAGAAGAGTTTCAAGTACTTGTCTCATGCAGTCTTGCATGGTAAAACTAAGATCAAAGACCACAAGGGCTTCTCAGGTAATGACTCAAGATAATACTATGCACTTTTAAAAAGCACAATGAAATTGCTATCCCAGTATGATACATATGGTTGACTAAATTTTGTATTCCCTTTAGAACAACACTAATCAAGAAGAGTACTGTAAAACCACTGATCTGCCCAGAAAGCACTAAGCTCAATGAATACAGAGAACTGCTCTACATGGCTTGAAGCATTCTGTTAATATCAACTTATTTTAATAAACATCAGAAAGAAGCTGCTGAATTTCTCAGCTTTTCCATCTCCTTGCTATTAATAGCAAAGGCTTAGTTAAAGGCCTTATTTAGATCATTCCATCAAGTAAAACATAACCAGAAATGAATATATTCCACAATTCATCATAACAATGCCAATTACAGAGAATTCAATGGGTCACTAATACACTAGGGAAATAGGGCTCAGACAGTTGTGCAACAGCTAATAATAAGACATGACAAAAGAAGACTAGAAGATTTTTTCTCCTTACACCAAAAAATGGAGAATACAGATTTTGATGTCATTGTTAATTTCAAAGGATGAAGTGCATGTTTAATGTGCAAGGGTTGCTGAAAACTCAGATTTCACTTCATATACAATGTTTAGGAGATATATTTTTACTATATATTCAAACACACTGTGGTATCCAAGACTATCCAATCTGTTTGAAATCAGCACCTTATCTCAACACCATTATCAAGACAGTGAGGAAACTGGTAAAAAGGGGAAGAAAAGCTTGATAATGTTGGATTCTGCAATGTAAAGAATCAGTGTCACTGAAAGATGGATCTGCTGGGGTACCATTGATCAAGTTCCGCAGAGTTTAGATCAGTCTTTACAATATCATCCTCAGGTTCTAACAGCACACTGAGCAAATATTATGCACAAAATGTGTTTATTACATAAGAAAATGCAAAACTACTTGAAACTGATCTGTGGAATGGTTTTCTTAATGCCCTGATTATGCCATTCTATGAAATTGTTGGAAAAAACTTGGACCATAGTAGGACACATGTAATTTTCTGTATTTCCTCTGGCAATAGGAAAGAATTATACTGCCCTCCAAAGACTAAGAGTACTTATATATTAAGCTGAAATTATTGGTTTTTTTTTATTTTTTATTTTTATTTTATAATCAAATGAACAAAATGTTATGTTCTTTAAGAGCTGCATTACTTATGGGATGGGTTATTTTTAATTTGCTAGTATTGGTAGCAGTACATACATGCTTATAAGAAAAAAATCACACAAAAGTTATTGTTCTATTATAAAACAAACAAGGTGTTTTGAAAGTTTAAATATTAACTTTTTAACAAGGAAGTTATCAAAGAAAAGATATCTGCTATTTAGTATTTATGTGCAGAAGTACAGCTTTATTTTTACTTAGATTTACAACTGGCAGATGCAGCATGATAAAAACCTTTATTTCCACAGAAATCAGAATAAAACCATAAATGTTGAATGCTAATGAGAATTTACCATGAGAGTTTTAAGGGTACAAGTGAGAATTAAAAACTGATACTAAAACTTTCAAAAAGGCTGAATTAGCTTAGCAAACTTTCCACCAAATCAGTTTTATCTCCTCTATCAGCAATAAAAATTTGAACCCTAGTTGCTGTTTATCCTTTAGAAGAACTCTCTCATGTTAGTAAGGAAAATGCAGGGGTTAATCTGACCAATTGCAGACAATATTCAATGAGTGAATTCCTTGATACATACAATTCCTTGACACATTACAACTAGCTTGACTATATAATTTACATGATGTCTCACCAATGTCTAAAATTGTTATATATCCCTCAGGAAAATAATGCCTATAGGTTGGGTTTATTTGTCTAACCAAAATCACACCAGCACATTAACAAGAGACTCAACTAGGCAATAAAAACCAACTGGTCTAAATGACTGGAAATAACTTTATCCATAATGTTCATTCAGCTATTTTATTAGGCTCACTGAACATTAACATAACCAACATTAGCAATAAAAAAGTTTATTTTATAATGTAGGCAAAGTAGACTGGGAAAGAAATAATTTAAGTAATTTTGTTCTTTATTTTCATCTATTTCCCTCCACATACATACTAATTTTTGGCATATGGAACAATATAGCTGTAAAAGCATTAGTGGCAGTGTTGCACTTTATTTAGAATCCTTGAATTTCTAGCAAGCCTTTAGCTTTAGTCATTTGACTATTTTGTTTGTTTGAGGGTTTTTTACTTCATTTTAGGTATTCACCATATGTCACAAACCTTAACACAAATTCATTGCACAGCATTTAAGAGCTTGTAGTTCACTGTAATCTTCTTAATATGTTAAAAAAAAGACAAAGCCCAACAAAAAGGTCAGACATATACATATGCAGGTCGGTCTCATCTTTTACCTTGCTGTCTTTGGAAGCAGTAGCACCACTCATTGTTGGATATCAAACTGTCTTTGTATGTGTCACAAGAATTGAAGAATGCCCTGGTGCATGGCTCGTTCTTGTCAAGGTAAATGCTTCCAAGTTCTGACTGGTCCAACAACAAGTCATAGTTCGTATCAAGCCTATTAAACATCCAGCCCAGGGAGTCTTTGCAAATTGGCAAAATGCTGGTATCAAATCCTAAGAGACAAAACAAAAATAATCAAAATTATATAGGAGGAAAGCTGGAGCAGCTGCTGATCCCAGCCACCAGAAAAGAATGCTGCATCATGGAAATAGCTCTCGTGGTACAAAGATGCCACAAATAAACAGTGTATGCTATTGAAACACATATAGAAATTATATGTCAGATTCACTTTTAAAGTCACTAAATTAATCTGTTAAAGAAATCAATCCTACAGTCAGCCTCAAAACATTCAGAAATATGAGTTTTCATGTCAAATGTTATATATATATAGCACACACATTATTTACAGTAATAAATGATAGATAATGATTTCCTGGAAAAAAATACTGATGAAGTTCTAACAGCATACAAATCAGGAGAATGAAATTTAAGTGGTTTGCAAAGTTTACAGAACTAAAAAGAGAATAAATTCCAGGTAACTTGGAGTCCCTGCTTGAGGGTGTTTTTTTTTTTTTTTTTTTTTTTTTTTTTTTTTTTTTCTTTTTTTTTTTGTTCTGATAACATACATTTAAATCTATGAAAAAGGAACATGATAGTCAGTCTCAGCAATGCTTTGAAAACTGTATTTTATCTTTACATGGTGTATTTTCTGTCTTGGAGGAGGCAATGTAAAAGATGAGTGCTAAGAGCAGCCAGCTGCCAGTACCATACTTACCTAACCAGCTTGCATCTTCCTAAAACACTGCTTGACAAAATGGCCAAATGGAACAGGCTGAGCTAATTATTCCTGTAGCCAGACGTCACACCTCCTGTTTAAGTTTCCTGCATGAACTTTAAAGTACATGCAGACTTGCCTATGGACACAAAAGGGAAATGCAGAAACCACCAGGGCTCTTGCTTTTGTCAAAGCTGTGAGCTGCAGATGATACAAACACCATCTTTTTCTGCTCCATGTGTTGTGGGTCATGCCACAAGTCCACGTGCCCAGGCAGTTGAGCACACAGCCTAATACAGAGCAAGATTTAGTGCTACTAAACATCATTCTTCTTGAAACTGTCAAGTTAAAAATGAGCACCAGAAAAAATTCAATTGTTATGTATGGCTACAGAAAAGTTAACATGAGAGCCCACAGGAATTCCCAATTTCTATTGCTGTTGAAAATCAAGCCTGCCTGCATTTTCTGCTGGTCTGACAACAGTAAAGAAATCAGAAAAGTGCTTCTATACTGCTAAACAGGTTTAATCCAGTAATTGCATTTAGAAGTCATTAGATGTCCTTTTAGATATATATCTATATATGGAAATGCCTATTCTATGGTAGAATGACCATTTCAGAAAGGAAAAAAACCTGATAGCATCAAAACTCCCTGTGCAAGTTAGACCAACATATAAAATCCCTTTCCCAGGAATTCCAAATTAAATATGATTTTTCAACAGGGTGATCTCACTTTTTCTAGTTCCCTGATATCTGTTGCATTAATTATGATTTTAGTTTGATAGAAAGAAGACAAAAAAAAAAAGCAAGAAAATTTAAGCATTTAAGCAAGCTATTACCTATTCATTAAGTTTTCATGTATTTAACACAATTTAAAAACATACCCAAGCATTCAGCCAAAGATCTCTTTCCCTTCCTCTTTAGCTCCTGACAAAACATCAGGACAAAACTTATTTTCTGTGGATTATGAAGAGCAGTGAGATACAGGACCCAATGAATGAATAAGGATATAGAGTAAATGTCTTATGCAACCTCATCTGTAAAAGGTATCAGAATTATTCAAAAGGTGTCTCTGATTAGAAAAAATTTGGAAGAATCCCCCATCTTAAAACAATTTTTTCTAATGATTACTGTTCAGTGTAACATTATTTACTTGTAAGGTCCTGTTCCTGAAGGCCTCTTAACACCTTCTCTCTTAATTCTGCTTTTAGCCAGAGATCCTCCTCATGACTTTGGTTATCAAAAGAGATCAATGTGATACATACTTCTACCTACCCTGCCTTTTGTGTACCTGCATAACAGAAGAAATTACTCTTGTACTCACAAATTATTTCTCTGGCCAGCTCACCCAACTCTAATAGATAGGGCAGAAATAGAGCAGTTATGATTTTAATTAGTAAGATGTCAACTAGAAAGGAATTTAAGATAAAAACCGCTTTAAAGGTGTATTTAAGGATAGACCTTGTGGGCCAAAGTAATTGAAGACAATACCAGTGCATGTGAAAATTCCAGCCTAATTTTATTGAAAGAGGCACCACTTTCCAGCTAAAATATTTTTAAATTAGCATTTGTCGTTCCTGTTGGCAAAGCTCACATTGTATTTGTATTTTAGGATACTAGAAGACAGTTTTATGTTTTTAATAAACTATACTAAGAAAAAGCAGAAACCCTCCAAACATCTGCTTATTTTACAGAATAAGCTGAGTTGGAAGGGACCCACAAGGATCATTGAGTCCAGCTCCTCAGTCAGCTTCAAACCATACTCTAAGAAGAAATAAATTTATCTGAAGAACAGTGAAAGAGAACTGAACACAGAACTGAACGTTTCAAAGGTGTACGCACCACTAAATTAAGGTTGGAACAATACTATACAACTGCATAAGATTTTTTCCCTCTCTTTTTCTTGATTTCCTTAACTATCATTAGCCTGTGACTGGAGCTCATCCTCTGCTCCCATTCCTCAATTCTTTTCTCACTTCTTTCTATATATAGCTTTTAGATTTTTTAAAAAGTGATCAGCACCTTCTCTATTACATGTTTTATAATTAAGGACAAAGCTTGAAGTTAAAAAAATTGCATTGGAGTCAGCAATATAATTAAAATGCAGATAATTTTAATACAGATCACTGATACCAACAGGATAGCACCAGAAAAGTGTTATTATGTTCTAATTATTTTCAATAAATTCTGTCAAAGTTCAACATAACTACAACTGAATATTTAAATATAGAGTATGAAGTCTGATATTCATGACATACTCCCCCTAGAAGATAGGAATATATTATTTTGGTACACCAGAACTAATAAACTTATTCAAACAATAACGTTTTATGTAAGAAAAGCTTACATTTATTAAAACTCTCATAACCTATCTGTTAAATAGCATCAGATACTGGAGGGAAAAAGCACTGTGGATCATGGGGTCTAACTTTCTAAATAACTGTATGATTTAATAATTTCTAAAACTGATTATGTTTTATCTTGAAAGTAATTTATGTTTCTTTTTTCAGAGTTCAACTCTGAAGTAGTTTGTATTCTCATTTACAGTCCAGCTATATTTGTTGTTGTTATCACTCATTTTTTGTTCTTCCTCTTGTCTGCTATATACAGCTTTAGTGTTGTAAATAGAGAAAAAATCACATTTCTTCTTAGTTTTCATTGCTCTTGTTTCATCAAGCTTAAGTCTTCCACAACCATCAGTCAACTGCAATATAGAAATGTCTGAAATCTAGGTAAAATATTAGTTTTGCTCAAACAAATAAAATAAACAAATATTTCAGAGGTAAACCAGTCAGGTGTTGATAGAGATAGAGGTAGCTTTGTTTTATATAAAATGGAGCACTCCACCTCTTCCAGAACTACTACAGCACAAAAAGATCATCACTTCAGGTCTATATACACCCTATAAACTCTTTTAGAGACTATTGTGGTAAAATTCTTGGTCCATTTTAAAAGAACTTTTACTGTATGTCCAAACTTAAAATTATCAGAAGTACTTTCTCTCAACAATGACTTGCTTCCTTTATTATAGTATTGATAAAACAATACATCTTGAAGGCGATATACTTGGGTAAAAGAGTCAGAAAAGCCTTGAAGGTCATATCTAGAGTTTAATATCTGCTACCATGGTTTGACACGTGAAGGCATCAGTTGATACAGAACTAAGAATCAAAAATCACCCGGTGACCTAGACGTAGGAAATATTGCCCAAATCACATACTGCATATATTATCACTTGGAACACCAACTAGAATGCTGGTTTTACACATTTTTCACAGTTGTAACACAAAGCAATAAGCAGAAACTAAGGAATAATTAGTATAATTGAATGATAGTAATTTATTCTTGATGATTAAGTATCAGGACATTATGCCAAGGAGTGCAAAAACTGCTGCTCAGATGACTAAATTATGAAAGATGTTTTTCTCTTTCATTTTAGCCACATACTCAAAATCTATTTCCATATAGCACAATGAAGTGAAATTTTATGCAGCTATTTCTGAACACTATCTAAAAAATATGAAGTACCAGCTCATGCTCTTTTCCTGGTCCAAATAATTCCAAGGGAAAAATTATTAAGAAATATAACCATCCTCCATGGCTTACATACTGGGCTTTCAAAACATTTGCTCAAAAGGAACTCACAGAAATGCTCCTCTTTTCTGGTTATTTCTCTGGGGAGAATTTCAACTCTTATCTGCCTACCAAGGCAAAACTATTGTTTGCCTGCTTATTAAACACATAAGTAACGTGTACATTGAGGAAGACAGCTTCTGAAACCATGTGGAAATCAGAACAGCATACACTCACAGGGCTCACACACTGCATTATATAGAAATTGTTTATCTAATATGCCAAGAAATGCACAATCTCTTCCAATACCAGTGTGCTGTCTGAAGCAATAAAAGTGTCTGGCAAATCACACATGTGAATAAACACACATGCACTCTTTGCCAGACTCCTGCCTGACATCTAGACCATGCATTTTGCCTCTTCAGTGTGCAAGCTGCACAGCAAGAAGGTTTTCTTTTTTAACAGATTTCGGTAATATTATTGTTAGTAGAAAACCTTCAGTGAACAGCATCTCACAGCTGAGACCTACTGTGCACAAGCTGGGAAAAGGTTTCCCTTCCATTGTGTATAAGGATAATTCTGTACAAAAGATTGAGTCAAAACCAATTTCAGTCAGCAACACTGATGTGGTTCATTTAGAGACTTAATTTTAAGTAGAGATGGATTCATTAAAGTTCCTGTTCAGAATTAATTCTAGGCTGGACTTCTTCTTCCAGACTCTTGCACTGAGGATGCCTTTGCATGAGCTAATGTGACACATGCAGAAATTCATTGGAAGAACCTTTCCTTTCTAGCAAGGTAGAACTATGGTTCAGGTTGTCAGTCTGTTCAACTTCATAGTTCAGCTCTATGGAACATTTTCTGAAATAATCTCAGGAATTAGACAAATTCTCAAGCCATCAGTGTTTTGAAGACATCAAAAATACTGTTTAAAACCACAAGTTCTCTGAAACATACTCTGGAAGAATTCATAGTTTGCCCTTCTTATTATCTAATTCTTATTAGAGTTTTGTGGCTTATGAAATCCCATTTGCTTCTCCTCACAGTAGGACTTCACTTTTGGAACTATTAATGCACACTTCAACTGCTCTTCTAAATAAGCACTTTGATGATTATATTTTAAAATGTAAAAATTTTAAAATGTTGTACTTTCCACAACAACAAAAAAATCTATTTAAATATTTGAGGGGGTAAAAGCAAATTATGCCCCTACTGTTTCCATTTCATTAGTACTCCTGAGTCTTTTCCAATTTCAAGTGTAACCTTAAAAATTCCTTTTTACTTACAAGCTTCTTTTCCATCTTTTTTCAGTACCAGTACCTACAGCAACATCATCTAGCCAAGATGGGTCACGCAAAATTTAAGTTCCTTTTTTTATTTCTTTTAATTTTGTGGCATTCACAAATTAAAGCATTGTGAATGATAGTTGTCCTGCCAAATGATATTGGAAGTCTAAACTCAACATCTTGTATTACTACTAAGCCATAATAGGAAACCAACTCCAGAAAAGCCTAAAGTTACAGTTTTGTACACGTCTATTTAAAGCACACAAGAATAAGGCAGGTCTTAACAATGGAAAAACAAAAGAACAGAAAAGGATCAAAGAAAACATCAAATAAGACAAGCAGAAATCACTTACTGCTCCTTTCAGGCCTTTGAACAATCCTAATCTTCTTATTCTGAATTCCACTTTCATGAAGTGCCTTAAACCAGTCTCTCAACCTGTTTGCAACTTCCCTGAATTCCAGGTCACTGCACACTGAAATACAAAATGCAGAGTTGTTTAATGTTTTTCTCCAGGGTGCGAAATAGAACTTTTCAAATTATGCTAAAAAAAATCCCCCAACTCCCACAAAACCCAAACCCCATATAATAATACAAACATGTATGTCCCACAGCTTTTAAAATTTATTTAATTCAGCTGCATTGCATAGGTATGCCTTCAGAACCCATTGAAGGTCCTGAGAAATAAATACCTGCTATATAAAGGAATTATAAAAGTATAGATGCCAAGGAATAGCAAACTTCCTTTGCAAACTACTACAAACAGTTGTAGCAGAGGTATTTTCACACCTTACTGAAGATGAGGCTGAGACACCCATGACATTTTTTTGTCTTTTCATTTCCATGTTCATTAAGGCAATACTAATCCAAGCCCTACCAGAACAGGTGAGAGGTGTAATTTAAGTAGATAATCTTGAACACTCAACCTGCTTTCCTATGCTGAGGAAAAGAGGAAATAGGATTGGCAGCAAAAGCGTTTCAACAATATGCTGGAAGTTTGGAATACTTGGAATGGAGTTTCACACACCAAACCTGTGAGCACATAACGGCAAACAGGCAACGGTACAGCCACTTGGTGATGGAAAGGATGGATTCTTTGACCAGAAACAGCAAAGGCAGAAAAAGCACACCAGACCAAAGAGAGCATCTGTAGTGCCAAGAGCAGCAGATTAGCAGCAGACTGGCTGGAGTGCTGTAAAGTACTGGCAGCTTGTACAGAAGCCAACAGAAGCAGGTATCAGAGAAAGATGTGCACTCAAGAGGCTTATTCACTGAGAAGACAAAGAAAGGGCATGCTTGAAGCAAGTAAATATCCCTCCCAGAACTCCATCTTCCCATTTGTTTGGGAAGACAAAAGGAATAACAGTATCTGGAAGATGACAAGAGCAGAAAAGACAAAAAATGTATCCCTGCTCAGGTAACAAAACACCTTCCACTGTCATTCTCAATAGCCATCATTTCTAAATTGGGTCACTTTCCAGGTCTACCAGTAAGCAAATAAGCTACAACCTGAGGAGCTCATACATAAGTTGGCAAAGCTTCACAGTGATACTCTTCAAAATAAATCTCCAGTTTGCTTACTTTTCCTTTATTGTGTAGCAATCCAACACATTTAGTGACAGCTTTTTTAGCACTTCATTAAATTGAACAACACTATGAAACACCTATTTGTATTTTGGAATAAGATAGAAATATACCATTTTGTCAACGGCTGTTAATGACTGTACAACTGCTTGCATCTAAGCATGAGATTATTTAAGCTTTACTGAAGTCTCTCTTGATACTTTGATTCTATCAATGAAAGATTAAAGTAAAATTCCTCCATACATACATTTGCATATGTTATGGACTGACATTTTTATAAATGTTGTATTGGTGCTTCTCTTCTGTGTAACAGAACTTTTTCTTTTCTGATAATTTACAGGGAACTGGGGAAAAAATAACGATAAACAGGCATGTGCACTAAAATATGTATTACAACAACCAGATTTAAATGGTCTCCTGATTCATGACTACGTATCATAATTCAAATGTGGGATTTTTATGTTTGCTATGATGACACCTTCCTGTGCCAACTCTTGCAATCAGCTGACAGGTCAGCACAAACAATCAGCTGTTAACTTGGGACACTCTGCTCCCCTTCAATTTCTCCTTCCATTACAGCTGCATATTGGGTTTTTAAGGCCAGGTTTTGGTAGCAGGAAGCTACAGGGGTGACTTCTGTGAGAAGCTGCCAGAATCTTCCTCCATGTCCAGCAGAGCCAATGCCAGCTGGCTCCAGGACAAACCCACTCCTGGCCAAGGCTGAGCCAATCAGGAATGAGGTAACATATTCCTGTTCAACTTCTTGTTCTGTAACACAGATGATCGACCTAAAAATCCATTCACCAGAATGCTACTTGCCATTGAAACATGCTTGCTAGAGGTAATACTGTTTGATGAAAAATTGTATTAGTTGATACATACTAAAAATGTTTAGGAATTTTTCATCCCAGTGATGAGCTTGTAAAGATACAGAATAGTGAAATTATTGTGCAAATTTGTCTGTCCTGATTTAAAATAGGTCAAGATGAGGTAATTCAGATCTATTCAGACTATTATTTAACCTGATAGACTGGGAGATGAATCTTTAATGGTGAAAGACAGACAGTAAAGGTTGTAGAAGGTTAGACAGTAATCAAAAAATGCATATTAAATCACATGAATCCACTCAGGAACCTGCCAAGAAGTACTTCTGTTTTTGTATAATGCCAATGCAAGGCAATCCTCCTATTACAATCAATTTTAGTAGCCATTAAGAGAATTAGTACAAGGTAATAGGAAGTCACAAGCTCAAAGGTTACTGGAGTCTACTGTCATTTCAAGCAATGAGACTGTCTTCTAAAATTAACAGCTATGGCTATGCAAAAAAATGAAGGTATCAGAAAATTTATAGGTACTTAATTCAGACATAACTTTATGACAAATATTATTTAAATGTTAGGTAGAACCAACTGTTCAATCTGTTTCCACATACAGTAGATGTTATGATTTGTGTTGGCATTTGAATATACTTTACAGATTGGAAGTAAAATATTTGAAAATGCTGTATCAGCCTGAGTTTTTTAAGTGCCTTTCAACTCAAGCTAATTAATGAAGTACAAATAGTGTTACTGAAAGCTGTAAAGACATGCAGAAGGTGTTTTAGCACTAGCATAAATGCACTAAATTCCCTAACATATTGAAACCAGTCTTAGCTTCCTGACATAAGAGAAAGCACATTATTTTAACAGTGCTTCCTTTTTATGTAAACACAGACATAGAAAAAATTACCTGTAGCTCAGTAAGTATTGAATAGATATGGACATAATGAGCACACTGCAATACTGTTATATCAAGGAGTAGCTTTTGCTAAGTGAAGGATGAAAAAAATTATTTAGGGAAAAAAAAGCAGTGAGAAACACACCGCACACTATGCAGATTATCTTCCTCAGCACACACAGTCTCATTCAGTCAGGCAGAACTATACTCCTAAATTCATGTATACAATAAAACATCCAGGAAGTAGCTATAAAGAGGGTATATAGCAAACTTCAAGAACAGGGTACACATCAACCATGTTTTAGAGTCAACTAGTAATTACTCCATGTGAGATGGGCAACTGATCAGTCAGTGTGTGCTGAAGCAAGACTTCTTGCTTTTCAAACTTTTTCAACATATTAGAATCACTGCATATGACTTATAAAAGCATTGCAATCAAAAAAACAATATGATATTGCTTGAACCACAGAATCAAACAATAATATATGTTAAAAGGGATCTCCAGAAGTAGTTCAGTCTTACTCTCTGCTAAAAGTAGGTCTAATCACATCAGGCTGCTCAGGGCAGAGTCCAGTCATTCATGTCCTATGGCCATCACACCATTCATGTGAAGGTTCCTCAGTGTTTGAGACAACGCCTCTTTGAAAGGAACTACTATCAACTGTTTTGTATCTCTATACTGTTCTCCTTTAAAAGTACACGAGTATTTCCTCATGCAGTAACTTGAGGATTGCAGCCATCTGCCCAGGATTGCTAGACACCCAGCAACCTGTTAGAGCAGCAATTCTGAATCAGCTGTGAGCAGGATTATTAGGAGCTGTCCACAGCTGATGCTCACGTAGCCCAGTGCCCTCTGACAGCATTACCTACCAGTCATGTACTATCATATGGCTGCACAGTCAATGCTGAGCATCTGTTCCAGCACGGGCATTTAAACATTCTTCTGAAAATACAGTAACCCTGAAACTGCCATCAGAACTCAGTGCTGCCTTAAAGACATTATCTACTATAGTAAGCTGGGACATTATAGCACATGTAACTACTCTGACAGTACTCTGCAAGGCTGCCATTCTGCAGAAGCTGATGAATTTAGCCGTGAGGAACTGATTACTTGGACTGAAAATTCCTGGCTCCAGAATAAGGGCTAGTATCCATGTGGCGAACTCTAAGCGCCTAAGAATTGTATGCAAGTGACTTACAATTCCTGCAATATACAGCAGTACTTTTAGCCCTGCATCATCTGTCACAAATGGGTAGAGTAACATATGGCAAAAAGAAATGTGCTAGCAAAACCAATAAATTTGGCAGAAGGACAAAAATCCCTCCAAACGTGTAACTAAAATGGGACAGTAATTTCAGTCATCTCTTTACCATCCAGGATGTACAGTTAGAACTGGTTTGGTTTTTCTTTTTTAAAAGGCTCTAAACTGAAAAAATTTATGCATATATTTGTATTTCTATAAGCTGATATTTATCAGCCATCTGTTACCTCTAGGGCCAGTGATTTTAAGAAGATAATACCTTGAAATTAACAAATAAAAGCATTCTGATTTCCTTACTATTTAACTAAACATAATGAATTCTCTACTTAGGTTAGTCTATGTTATGAGATAATTAATACAAATTCTGCAGATAGCATATCAGGGAACTGCAGCTGCTTATTCTTACTGCCCCAAATTAATGTTCCATACAGACATTCTGCACATGATTAATGCTTCATAAAATGCAAAATGATTTCAATAAATTACATTTTCATAAAATAAATCTGATCTTTTTGTGTCCTCACAGTTTTTAAAGGCTTCATATTTAAATATAATAATAATTTCTGAGTGCAGGAAAAATACTAGTAACCACAATTTACATGCCAAGTTACTGTCGTCAACTTAAAATACGTGGACTTACAAAGACATTGCAATTAAGTAAGACAATACTGATTCTTTAGTCTCTCAGAAGTATCACAGACCTATAGTGGAATTTGATAATTTATTTTCTGGACAGTCAATGTATATGGCTTCCTCCACTAACTGCTGCTAACCTTTAATGATGGCTATAATTTCTCATTGTGCTCTGCTATTCAAAACTACTCATTTTTGAGGATGAAAATGATGTTATTAATCTGTAAATTGCATAGTTATGAACACAGAAGGTAAAAGAAGATAGCAAAGAGATGTTCCA